CCAGTTCAGACCCCAAAGCGGCTGAAAATTATTTTTTATTTTTAAATTTAAAAACTGGCCTTCCCACCAGGGAGGGTGGCCCGAAAAAGAAAAACTTTCCCATATTCACTCCATCACTGTCTTGCCGAAGGGTACTTTTACACTCAGTTTTTAAACGCAAAATTAACACCCCCCCTTCAGGTGCGGCACTGTACTTCCCCATCTCCAGGCTCAAGTCCGGGCCCGCCGGTTTCCCTGAAACCCTTCATAAATGTTACTTTGCTCACACTCCAACAGCACGTCAAGTATTAAAAACCATTTGTCTCCATTCACTCCTATCAAACACGCTCACGCATGCCCGCTGGAAGTCCAAGCCCCTCGCACACAAAACTTCCTTTACCCCCTCCCTCCAACCTTTCCTAGGCCGACCCCTACCCCGCCTTCCTTCCACTACAGACTGATACACTCTTGAAGTCATTCTGTTTCGCTCCATTCTCTCTACATGTCCAAACCACCTCAACAACCCTTCCTCAGCCTCTGGACAACAGTTTTGGGCAATCCCGCACCTCCTCCTAACTTCCAAACTACGAATTCTCTGCATTATATTCACACCACACATTGCCCTCAGACATGACATCTCCACTGCCTCCAGCCTTCTCCTCGCTGTAACATTCATCACCCATGCTTCACACCCATTAAGAATGTTGGTAAAACTATACTCTCATACATTCCCCTCTTTGCCTCCAAGGACAAAGTTCTTTGTCTCCACAGACTCCTAAGTGCACCGCTCACCCTTTTTACCTCGTCAATTCTATGATTCACCTCATCCTTCATAGACCCATCTGCTGACACGTCCACTCCCAAATATCTGAATACATTCACCTCCTCCATACTCTCTCCCTCCAATCTGATATCCAATCTTTCATCACCTAATCTTTTTGTTATCCTCATGACCTTACTCTTTCCTGTATTCACTTTTAATTTTCTTCTTTTGCATACCCTACCAAATTCATCCACCAACCGGCTGAAAAATATTTGCAGGAATTCAAGGAGTACATAGACAGTAAAGGAATGAAACCCGAACAAGTGTTTAATTGCGACGAAACAGGCCTGTTTTGGAAGAAAATGCCAAGCAGGACCTTCATTACTCAGGAGGAAAAGGTACTCCCAGGGCATAAGCCTATGAAAGACAGGCTTACTCTGTTGATGTGTGCCAATGCTAGTGGTAATTGAAAAGTGAAGCCTTTATTGGTGTATCACTCTGAAACTCCCAGAGTGTTCAGGAAAAACAATATCCTCAAGGCTAATTTGTGTGTGCTGTGGAGGGCAAACAGTAAGGCATGGGTCACTAGGGACTTTTTCTATGACTGGTTACACCATGCATTTGCCCCCCCTGTGAAAAATTACCTCCTGGAAAATAAATTGGACCTTAAGTGCCTCCTGGTATTAGACAATGCTCCTGGTCATCCTTCAGACTTGGCAGAGCGACTTTCTGCGGACATGAGCTTCATTAAGGTGAAGTTTTTTGCCTCCTAATACCACTCCTCTCCTGCAGCCCATGGACCAGCAGGTCATTGCAAACTTCAAGAAACTGTACACAAAAACTATGTTTGAAAGGTGCTTTGTAGTGACCTCAGAAACTCAACCGACTCTAAGAGAGTTTTGGAGAGATCACTTTAGCATCCTGAATTGTGTAAACATTATAGGTAAGGCTTGGGAGGAAGTGACTAAGAGGACTTCGAACTCTGCTTGGAAAAAACTGTGGCCAGAATGTGTAGACAAAAGGGATTTTGAAGGGTTTAAGGCTAACGCTGAGAATCCTATGCCAGTTGAGGAATCCATTGTGGCACTGAGGAAGTCCTTGGGGTTGGAGGTTAGTGGGGAGGATGTGGAAGAGTTGGTGGAGGAGGACAATGAAGAACTAACCACTGATGAGCTGCAAGATCATCTTCAACAGCAAGAGGCCACACCTGAGGAAACTGCTTCGGAGGAGGGGATAGAGAAATTGAAGAAGTTGCCTACTTCTAAGATTAAGGAAATGTGTGCAATGTGGCTTAAAGTGCAAACCTTTTTTGATGAAAATCACCCTGACACAGCTACTGCAAGCCGTGTTGGCAACCTGTACACTGACAATGTTGTGAAACACTTTAGGAATGTCATAAAGGAACGGGAGGTACAGGCCTCTATGGACAGATATGTTGTGCAACAGAGGTCCAGTGACTCTCAAGCTGGTCCTAGTGGCATTAAAAGAAGAAGGAAAGTAACCCCGGAAAAGGACTTGCCACCTCAAGTCCTAATGGAAGGGGATTCCCCTTCTAAATCCTAACACTATCAACACTCTCCCCTCCTCCCATCCCATCAATCATCACCAGATCTTCAATAAAGGTAAGTGTCATGTAGCTATGCATGTCTTCTTCAGTTTGTGCATATTAAAATTAATATTTCATGTGGTAAAAAAATTTTTTTTTTAATACTTTGGGGTGTCGGGAAAGGATTAATTTGATTTCCATTATTTCTTATGGGGAAAATTAACTTGACTAACAATAATTTCGATTAACGATGAGCTCTCAGAAACGGATTAATATTGTTGGTCGAGGGTCCACTGTACGGTGGAACTTTTACTTACGAGTGCATCCACATACGTGTTTTTCTAGATACAAGCCTTTGCTTGGTCAATTTTTTGCTTCCAGACGTGAGCGAAATTTCCAGATGCAAGCAGGCCTTAAGGGAGGTTCCTTGATACTGGTGAGGGGCTCTTGCTCTTGATCTCGGGAACTGGATCTCAGTTGTTTGTTGGACTATCTTATTGAAACATGGGCAACATGTGATGGAAAGATGCTTCTTAGTGTACACCAAAAATTAAAGAAATTGGACCATAAATAATGGAGTTCACTTCTCGGCCATTAGTCTCCCCTTAGCGGTATATTTTTGTATGTTTTTTTATGGTTGTATTCTCCTTTTTTTTGACTCATCTGATAGAATGGAAGATATACTACAGAAATAGATATGATTTTGATTGTTTTCATGATGAAAAGTACCTTGAAATTGAGCTCAAAGTAGCAGAAATGTTTGATCCTTCGGCGATGTTCAAGAGTAAACAAATTATGTCACCATCCAATACCTGTCCGATTGGCACTGCCCCTCAACCTTCACATATTGGAAAGCTCTTCAACATGCTAGCAAAAGTGGAAGCAGACATCATTGTCAGCATAGTTGCTGATCCCCTACATATGTTGTATAGCTTATCTGAGTATCATATTACCATCCATATGTTTTATAAAGACGACCCCTTGCTAGACTTAGTGGCTAGCATGTGACGTCACGTGATGCCGCATGTGAGCGTCAGATGCACTGTCCCATTCTCAGTCCACGGATAGACCTACAGACGGTTACAGGCAGGCTGGGCTCCCCTCTCGCACTCTGCTAATGGAAGTGTATACAACCCAACAAGTGTGTTTATCTCCAATCATCATATCTACATGGAACCCTCCTAACATCATGAGGTAGCAGTGGCAGACAACATGAAGCAGCAGTGGCAGACATCATGAAGCAGCTGTGACAGACATCATGAGGTGGGAGTGGCAGACAACATGAAGCAGCAGTGGCAGACAACATGAAGCAGCAGTGGCAGACAACATGAAGCAGCAGTGGCAGACAACATGAAGCAGCAGTGGCAGACAACATGAAGCAGCAGTGGCAGACATCATGAGGTAGCAGTGGCAGACGACATGAAACAGCAGTGGCAGACAACATGAAGCAGTAGTGGCAGACATGAAGCAGTGGTGGCAGACAACATGAAGCAGCAGTGGCAGACATGAAGCAGCAGTGGCAGACATGAAGCAGCAGTGGCAGACATCATGAAGCAGCAGTGGCAGACAACATAAAGCAGCAGTGGCAGACAACATGAAACAGCAGTGGCAGACAACATGAAGCAGCAGTGGCAGACATCATGATGTAGCAGTGGCAGACAACATGAAGCATCAATGGCAAAGTGTAGCATTAAGAGTGTAGCAATTATAAGGCACTCTGTCTGGGTTATCCTAGGTTCTCTACACATGTACTCAGGAGCAGGAATGCCCACTGTGGTGGCCCTATAAACCCCAACAACAACAATGGAGGCTGTCACCACCACTAGCCACAAACGTAATGACATGTATTTTATTCATTCTAGTGTATATATCATGTTTCTATGTTATTAATATTGTTTATGCCATGTTAGATGATTTTTTTTTTTCAACAAACCGGCCATATCCCACCAAGGCAGGGTGGCCCAAAAAGAAAAACGAAAGTTTCTCTTTTTAAATTTAGTAATTTATACAGGAGAAGGGGTTACTAGCCCCTTGCTCCCGGCATTTTAGTTGCCTCTTACGACACGCATGGCTTACGGAGGAAGAATTCTGTTCCACTTCCCCATGGAGAATTAGATGAATTGTGACAGATAAATAAGCTATAGAGTTGATATTAGGGAAAGTATTTTTTCATGCCTGGAATTCCATTGGAATGAATTAATTCCATTTCAATCAATTTAAATGAGGAAAATTGACTCTGCAGACGAGCAAATCCAGATGTGAGCAAGGTCATGGAATGGATTAAACTCGTAAGTAGAAGTTCCACTGTATATATGTACTTTATGTATGTACTGTATGCATGTACTGTATGTATGTAATTTATGTAATGTATGTAATTTATGTATGTAATCTGTGTGTGTAATGTATGTATGTACTCAGCTAAATGTGATTATATTTTTGGAATGTGTTATAACATTTGTAGTGGTTAGCACATACCCTGAAAGATGGGTGAAGATGCTGCATCTCAGAGGGCTATTTAAATTGTGATGACTGCATACTAGACGGTTAAAGAATGAACGTGAGTTTCTTCTCTGGGTCACCTTACTACTATAGTAAAAATCATTATTTTTCTTTATCTACACTACTTTTGTTATTCAACTTCCTAAACAAGAATATCCCCCTTAATTTTCCATCATATTTACTTACCATACTCTAAAACATTTTCAATCTCACCTGTTTCGTAAGTTTAGCATTAACTTGTAACTGTGTAAGCTCAGTTAGAGCTTGAAGGTCAGCACCAACAAAGCCAGGTGTGGCATGAGCAACTGTAGCTAAACCTGAGTGATTGTTGGGCAACAACTTGGCACTGTGAACATTCAGTATGCTCACTCGGTCAGCTGCTGAAGGAACATTCAGAAGGATCTGCAAAAAATGTGGTTCAATACTGTACATATAAAATCAAATCCCTTGATTAAAAGAAAAAGATGTACTCTGTGTTGCACAGGTGTTGCACATGTGTCTTATTCATCAGAAACACTACAGTACAATAACCTAAGAAAGATATAAAGAAGTTTTGAAGGAGAGTAACTCCTTGCCTAATATACATGTACTGTATTGTACTTAGGTTACAATGGAAAATTTATCCAAATGAATAAAAACAGCAAATCTCAGATATTCAGCAACTGAGAGTACAGTTTAAAAACCATAATTAAACTAAATCTAAACTCACCTCAACTTCTAGGCGTCCTGATCTTCTGAGTGCTGGATCTAAGTCAAATGGACGATTAGTTGCAGCCATAAGAGTAAGATTAGAACACTGTCTGCACTCATCTAGCATTAGAAGCACCTAGTAAATAGTTAACGTAACAATATAATACTGTACAGTATAAACATAATATGACATGACATATGTATAGTGAGTATCCTAATTAGTGGGGGGGATACATTTAAGAGCCCTGCAAATATAAAATTGTTTGCATATTAAATTGTTTTAAATCTGGGCTCATTTAGTGTTTCAAAGATCATATCTCTCAATACATAATGTTAGTCTGATTAATATTAACATTCCAAAAAATGACTAGACAGAAGAGAGAGATTTGCACATGGAAAAACCACTAAGCATAATTTGAACAAAATCCTAAACTGCTGAGTTTCCAATTTAGTGGTCATGTGTGAAGACTGAAGCAATGGTTACTGTGATAAAACACATGGATAATCGTATCTATCTGCAGATTATACCCTTCAATAAAAATGTTCTATAATAAAAACTTGCAAATATGGAAGCCAGTGAATTTGGAGGGACAAGTGTATAACTGTAATGTAACAAACACGTTTCCAGTTGGGCAAACCTTCAGCAATACAGTTTGTGAACAGAACCTATCATCAAAATCTACTGCCACATTTAAATCTCTCCCTAACTATAATATACAGTAGGACCCCACTTATTCGGCAGGTTAAGTTCCAAGCTACTGCCAGAAAGCAGACTTCGCCGGAAAGCAGAACTCCATTTTTTCCATTTATAAATGCATATAAATGCCAGATAACAAGTTTACACTAACATATATTAAGTTAGCAATAGAACTAGGCATTAAAAAGTAAAATACACACAGTACACATTATTTATCTCAAAATACTATTTACATTTTTATGTAGGGCAAAAGGTGAGTAGTATTTACTCTAAGAAGTCAGGTGTGGTAGCCCTCCTGGCCACCCCACCCACACATACTATACTACAATGCTTAAAGTGCCCTAGAGTGATAAAATGCATATACAGTAGACACATTACTTACCTTAAAATATTTGTAGTCTTAATGGTCTTAATGTAGGGTGAGAGGTGAAAAGCATTTATTTGTAGAAAGTCGTGTGGGAGGCATGGCATCTTGCCTGACCATTTATACCTACTACAACATTAAGCTCCCTAGAGCGATAAAATGCATATATAGTACACTCATTAACCCATTCAGGGTTTCCGATGTACTAGAATGGCTTACGCACTAGGGTTATTAATGTCCTAGTACGTGTAAATTCTAGCGCCTTCAAATCTAGCGAGAGAAAGCTGGTAGGCCTACATATGAAAGAATGAGTCTATGTGGTCAATGTGCACAGTATAAAAAAAATCCTGCAGCACACAATGCGTAATGAGAAAAAAAACTTTGACCGTGTTTTTGGTTTAAAACAGCGACTTTGACTGTATTTTCGTATGGTATTTATGGTTGTATTCTAGTTTTCCTGGTCTCATTTTATAGAATGGAAGACATATTACAGAAACTGAGACGATTTTGATTGGTTTCACAATGAAAAGTACCTTGAAATTGAGCTCAAAGTAGCAGAAATGTTCGATTTTTGCCAAAGTTCAAAAGTAAACAAATCAGGCCATGCGTCCAATACACGTCAACTGGTGAGTCTAATATTTTTTCACAAGTGTGCTGATATTATTTATACCATTTCTACACTAATGCATAACAGTAAATCTTCTATTTTTTGTGAGAATAAAAATTCAAAGTGGAAAGCAAAAGAAATGTAAGGGAGGCCTGGGGATGTGACTAATGAACAGAAAAAAAATGTTATTTTAGTGCCAGGAATGTCTGTTTTGTTTATTCTAGACCCTATTTGGAAATTGGCATCTTTTGAAATTTGTGTGAAATTGGCAAAATTGCTAATTTCTGACCACTTTATTGGATAGTTGAAATTGGTAAATGGTTTCTTTCTTGTACTCATTCAATAGAAAAAATGGAGTTCTAGCAAAATAATTATGATTTTTTGTCGACTAGTACACTGGAATTGGCTGAAAATAGGGCTCAAAGTGGGCAAAATCGCCGATGTGTAAACATCGTCGAGACCGCTAACTTCGCGAGAGCATAATTCCGTAAGTTTTCCATCAAATTTCATACTTTTGGTGTCATTATGACTGGGAAAAGATTCTCTATCTTTTCATAAGAAAAAATATTTTTTTTTTCAGAAAAATTTTCAACCCTTAGAACAAGTTTAAGAGAGGGCCTCTCGACCCTGAAAGGGTTAATTGCCTTAAAATATTTGTAGTCTTAATGTAGGGTGAGAGGTAAGTTTTATTTGTATGAAGTCAGGTTGGAAAGTACGGGTAGCCAGGAAGGTCAGCCCTCCCAACCCAACCCACACATAATGTAAACAAACCAGATGAACGCGTCTGGTTTTCGCCACAAGTCCTACAAGTTGCCTGGCTACCACAAGTCCTACAAGTCACCTGGCTACCACAAGTCCTACAAGTCGCCTGGCTACCACAAGTCCTACAAGTCACCTGGCTACTACATCTCATATTTATGTTAATGTATTCTACTGTGGGGTGTATTTAGATGGATTAAGCAAAATGTCTATATTAACATTTTTATATGATATTTATTGCTCCTTAGAGTGATTATTATTATTATTATTATTATTAAAATGGCATCTTCAAGACTAATAAGACACTTAGTGATTTTAATGTGTACCTGCATGCCAGCAGAGTAAGTTTACCTAGGTACAGGTACACATAGGTATAATTATCAGTTATAATAATAATGTAGGTATGTAGTCCACCTGGGCTACATAGTTACACAATATTTAATGTGGCCCAGAGCCATATTATTACCATCGACATACCATGTTCACCGAGTTTAATCGTTTCTAGCAACTACCTTTAAAAGTCATCATAAACAAAGGGAGAAGTAATGAATACTTCAAGCCGAGAATTGTAAACAAAAGCGTTATGTATTAAGAGGAGTGATGTAAGGTTTTCCCTCCACCCGGTTACCACACTTCCACAGTATATAAACAAAATATTTATATGTTATGTAATGTGTTTCTTATATAATTTTGAAGAAAATATGATAGATGGATTAATAAAAATGTCTATATTAACATAAAATAAGACATTTAATGTGCCCAAGAATGATTATTATTAGTATTACATAATTTTTTCCCTCTACCTGGCAGCCACACCTCCATAGCATATAAGCAGCGTGTTTATATGCTATGTAACATGTTTCTTATATAATTTTGAAGAAAATATAATAGATGGATTAATGAAAATATCTATATTGAAGTAAAATTAGACATTTAACGTGCCCAAGAGTGATTATTATTACATAATAGAGAGATGTGCTCATGGAGTATGTAAACAAACTGGGTGGCCCATACCATATTTGAAAGATCACTTGCCGTATAGAAAGTTCTGGCCATAATTTGAGATCGCCGTATTAGCGGAACGCCGAAAAGCGGGGCCCTACTGTATATCACTACAGACCTGTCTTTGCTCCTGCCTATATAACCTTTCTCCAGTTACAATTTACTGACTTGAAAAATCTTACTGCATATGCAAAGCAATGTCTAAATAATGCTTCATTTAACTCAGCAACAAGTCTTTACATTTATAAACTTCTTATCCTTCTAATGGACACCCTAAGAGATAAAAAGGGAGGTAATGACTCCAGAATTTTCAGCTGGGAGATGAAGGAATATCTTTTGGTCCATACTGTACGGACTGTTGGTTGAATCTAGCTTGCGAATTATGACAGCTCTCAGGCTCTTAAGAAAAACTGATGGATCAACTGTGCCATCAAGATAGTCAGTGTTTGTCAAATAAAAGAAGACCCATCTGGGCATGTGGATCAGTGCCATCTGTGTGCTGTGTGAAACAGATTCTTGTTATTAGGCCTACTATTAAAACACACTGATTATCCTGCATCTCTTCTCACTAGGAATTCCTTGTGTCATCAATTTTGCATTTTCATGATTAATTAACATATATTTTGCGCTATGATCTTATTAAAATAAATTCATTAGCTATTTTCTCCGAATGTTAGAAAGTCTATTTAAAGTGTATGCTTCATCTTGCATAATCTTTCAGGTGTGCTTCTGTAATCCTTTAACTACTGCCCAAAGGATACTTAAGAAAAATCAAATATTTTAATCATTGTACTCACATACCTGTGTTGTAAGTCTCTGATCATGAAGACTTGATTCCTTGGTTCTCATAGGACACAGTGAGTCTATTTCATCTATGAAAAACAAACATGGTCCTTCTTCACTTAAGGCTTGTGCTTGCTCTGCAACCTGTAAGTACAGTTTAATATTACTATTATATTCATGGAAAGGTGCTAAATCCATTAAGGGTCATACAATGTCTGTGGAATGGGTAGCAATCAGGTTTGATTTGAGAAAGAGGAATGTACCACAGCATAATAGTACCCACACTTTTATATGGGTTTAGCTGTAAGGCATGGTCATTAAACAGTGTAGTAAGGAGATGGCTAAAGGCAGTGGAGATGTCATGTTTGACAGAGATATATGGTGTGAATACTGTACAGAGAATTTGGAGTGTAAAAATTAGTAGTCAGTTAAGGGCTACCAAAGGTATAATTCAGAGTGCTGGAGAAAGATTGTTGAAGTGGTTTGGGCATACAGAAGTTGCATAAATCAAGGATGGAAGGAAGGAGAGGTAGAGGTCATCTGAAGAAAAGTTGGAAGGAGGAGGCGAATGAGGTTTTTAGGTGTAGAGGTGTCAGTTTCCAGTAGGTGTACGTGACCATGTCAGATCAAAATGAATGGAGACAAGCAGTTTCTAGGGAAATCAGTTAGCCAGACTTGAGTCCTGGAGGTGGGAAGTACAATGCCTGCACTCCAAAGGAGGGGTAGGTATGTTGCAGTTCAAAAATTCATCTGAACTGTGATGTCTGCATTGTTTGGCAAGACAGCTACTGAATGAATGATGTCTAATCTCTTTTCCTTTTATGGTCACCCTTCCTCAAACACCACAGAAAATTACTGATCTTGGCCTGGAAATTCAGATTTAGATTTTTTGAATTTAAAGAAGACATTCGTTTAAAATTTGCAGTTTTTGAAGAAATTTCCTTAATGATACTATAATTTAGAGGAACACACTATTAATAACACAGCAGATTGAAATTTTTCTGTTAATAAAGCAATTTTTAAAATACTAACCTTAACAAAATTTTTCTCCATTTCTTCTTCATAAGGACTAACTAACTCTGCTGCTGCAGTTGCAACGAGACAAGCTCCTGTCTCGGCACACAACTGGCGAACAAGCGAAGTCTTTCCACAGCCCGGGGGTCCAACCAGAAGTATTCCTAGAAAATGGTGGTATTCAGCTAGTTTCTGGGTGTTACTGTTTAGTTATGTGAAAAGCTAAATTTCTTAAAAAAAAAAAAAAAAAAAAAAAAATCAAACATACAAGAAAGTGGTGAGAAAAGAACAGGGTCTTGTTCTAAGGAATTTCCAAACTTACTCCGATTAAAATTACTCTATCAGTTCTGAAGACTACTGTAAATTAAACACTGAAGGATGCTAAATACATTAATTCAGCTGGTCCGTGTAATTCTTCCAGGTAGCCCCAAAAAATTCTTATACAGTCCTGTATTTACCTGCATCTCACTGTCATATCTAAATCATCACTTTAGTAATAATGATTTTGTGAACATTCTTAAGTGTAATAAGTATTTTTCATTCATATTTTTAACCCGTAAATGGTCCAAGCACATCTACGCTCACATGCATAGGGCTCCGAAAGTAGATCCACATTTTTTTACATATTTTCAAATATATATAAAAAAAAAAAAAAAAAAAAAAAAAAAAAAAAAAAAAATCAAAGTTTTTTACACATTTTCAAACGTTAAAAAAAAAAAAAATCTACTTTTTTTACATACTAACAAATGTTGAAAAAATGTATATATACGTTTGGACCGTTTACGGGTTAAAATATATACAGGTTACTGTATTGTAAATGGATGCTGTATAGCTATTTGAAAACAGGAAAATAGATATGGCTCAGTGCTATCTTACCTGAGGGATATGTAACTCCTGCTCTGTTAAACTGCTCTTTTCTCATCCAAGGTTCCACGATTATTCTTCGGAGATAAGCCAAAATTTTATCCAGTCCACCCAAACTCACAGTATTATGCACTGTCATCCTACGTCTGTCCTCACTCTCAACTCCACTAAGATTAATAATAGTGTTTGTAGCAACGACACCAACTTCATGGGAAGACAGTGAACATTTTACAATTATCACCTGGGAAATACCTAATAGTTCTCCCAAAGGATTTTTTCGACAGTTAATATTGCTTTTATTAACAACACCATACAGTTTAAGCAATTCCCTAAGGGAGTCTTTGAAGCACTGTTTATTTTTTCTATATTTAAGCACATCTTCAACTGTATTTAAAATAACAGTGACATCAATATCTTTAATAGGTGCAAACTTCAATGCTGATATTTGAAAAGAACTGATTGTATAGTTTCCAGTTATTAAAGATGTGGCTGAACTTGTCATTCCCATGTAGACACAGTTACAAGCTATCACTTGAAAGCCTACATCACTGCAAGTATCCATCACAGGCACTGCACGGCAGATGAGACAAATGCCACTTGTGAGACTTAATTTCATATACCCACCAACCGTTCCTTTAACACCAAGCAAAAGGGGACTTGGTATGAGGCACTGCTGTATATCTCCTGGTCCATAACTCTCAACTGAAGCCAGGAAAACAGACTCTTCCATCTCAGATACAATTCTGAAAGAATACTGAAATAAATTACAGTATTCATGCACAGTATATTTGTCATGTATCATAGCCACATTATTATTACTGTCATTACTATTATTTTTAACTAAACAGCCATTTTCTGCCAAGACAGGGTAACCCAAAGCAAACATATTTACCATCATTCACTAATAGGGGGATGTGATAAACTCAGAGAAGTTGTATAACTCCTGGAGAATAAGAGGCAATCAGGTTCGGTCCAGGGAAAGGGAGGTCTGGTCAAATTCCTTTGATCAAGATATCCTCACCAGCATCAAGGAACCTCCCTTAAGAGAATAAGAGGAGTAAATGAAATGTAATACAGTACTGTACAGTGCTTTGTGGGTTTCGTACAATGGACCCTTGGTTTTCGTCCGGTGAGGAAATCGTACAATTTGGATTTCAAGCACCTTTTTTGGCAAAATTTTCCCCCGGGATCGTTTTTCTACATCAGCTTTGGATTCGTCTGTCTTAGGTAACGCGTTCCACTCGCCCAAGGCCCCGCTTATCATACATACCAGACTCAATCTGCCTCTGTCTCTCATTGAGTTAGCAATACTCCGTGCATTCATCTATTGTTTTTTTGTGCCTTGTTTTTATGAGTGTGACTGTGAAATCAAGCCACAATGGGGCCCCATGGGGCCAAAGAAAAGTTCAGTGTGAGCCTTATGGTAAGGTGAGAAACACGATGAATTCACTGAAAGAAATTGAAGATATTGTGGCTAGAATGTGTCCAGAGAAGGGATTTTGAAGGTTCGGGCCAGACCCTGACAACCCAACATCAGTTGTGGAATATATTGTGACTTTGGGGAATCCATGGGGTTGGATGAGTGTGGCCAGGATGTGAGAAGGAGTTGGTGGTGATGACCTCTGGGAAGGGCTAACCACTGAAGGTTTCAAACCTTCCAACTGGAACAGCAACAAAATCGCAGCTGAGGAAAATTGCTTCAGGAAGGAGGAAGAGAGTTTACCTGGAGTTTACTGGAGGAGAGATTCTGGGACTGCCCCGCGGCACGGTCGGTGAACAGGCCTCCTGTGGTTCTGTGCTGATCAACAGGTGTTTACTGCTGGCTGCATGCAACCAACGTACCGAGCCACAGCCGGCTGATCAGGAACCGACTATTTGGTGCTTGTCCAGTCTGCCAGCTTGACTTGAAGACACTGCCCTGGGGTCTGTTGGTTAATCCCCCTTATGTATGCTGGGAGGCAGTGAACAGTTTCGGAGCCCCCTAGACACTTATTGTATGGTCTCTTAACGTGCTAGTAGACACCCCTGCTTTTCTATTGGGGGGATTGTTGCATCATCTGCCAAAGATTTGCTTTCGTAGTGAGTGATTTTCGATTGTGCAAGTTCGGTACTAGTCAATCTAGGTTGTATATAATCATGGTATCTCTCCCGCCCGCTGCGTTCAGGGAATACAGGTTCAGGAACCTAAAGCGCTCCAGTAATTGGAGGTGTTTTATCTCCGTTATGCGTGCCGTGAAGGTTCTTGTACATTTTCTAGGTAGCAATTTCACTGCTTGAAAGGTAGCGAGAGGGAAGAATGTGTTTCTTCAGTGATTAAGGACATTTGTGCAAAGTGGGTGAGGTGCAAAGTTTCCAGAGAATTATCACCCTAACAAAACTGTTGTCAGGCTGTCTGTAGCATGCAACATGTTCAATGACATGTCTTGTCACATTTTAGCAAGTCTTAAAGAGATGCCAGAAACATGCCTCTCTGGACTCAGATTTTTGTGTGACCAGGTGCAGTGACTCTCACAGCTGGTCATTAAGTGCAGTAAAAGACAAAGCAGGGAAAGCAATCCGGGTAAGGGTTTTGATACCCGAAGTCCTTAAGGAGTGGAAGCCCCTCTTACCAAACAATACTCAACTCCCATTTCCTCTTGCCTTCTTCCATACACCAACAAAAGTCTTCAATAAAGGTATGAATCTTCATTTATCATTAAAATTAGTCATTTACATTTATTCCTCATTCTTTTGTACGTATATACTATAACTTATTCTCTATAAATGTAATTTTTGTTAATATTTTGGGTATCGGAACCGGAAATTAATTGGCTTTTCATTATTTATGGGAATATTACACTTCGGTTTTGTCCATTTTGGATTTCATCTGACCTTCCTGCAACGGATTAGGAGAAAAACTCAGGGTCATTACTGTACTTAGTTTCGATTGTGTACTGTGCGTATATTATTATTATAAAAAAAGGTGTCTAACCTACAAGGGGTTTTATATATTATATATATATATATATATATATATATATATAATATATATATATATATATATATATATATATTATATATATATATATTATATATATATATTTATATATAATATGCACTAAGATCACAGTAAACAGGTGATTTTCAGAATATGCAAAAGCAAACCACTCTGAAAGAATAGGGGTGGGGGAGAAATTCCAAGCGCTTTTTCATGGACTACTCAAATTATCCCCTGAACTATGAAAGTAAAGCATCCCAAGGAAGCTATATAGGGGGTCTGGCCACAGCACCTCACTTTCAGATCCCCACAAACGGTTAAACAATGTCGCGTGCCGACCCAACTTGGATAGGTCCTTTGCACAACTCACCCACAAATATTCTACCCAAGAAAAATTTAAAAATTATTTATTTGTCCAGTGTTTATTAAATTCTTCCCAAATTCTTAATTAAATGGTATCTAATTTATATAAACCAAAGGAACTATTCATATTATTGTAAAAAACGCTTTTATGAAACAATTAAATTATATTCCTGTCGACCTGGACTTGTTTGATAAATTTCTAAACTTTTTAAAAATCAATTGTAAAAATTTTTAAAACCACCAAATTTTGATTTAAAAAAAGTTGAGAAAGTATATAAAGCAATTCCAGGGTCGACAGGAATATAATTGAATCTTGTTTCATAAAAGCGTTTTGAAATAATATGAATATTTTTTTTTGGGTTTTTTTTTATAAATTAGATCCTTTTATAAAAAATAAATTTGGGAAAAATTAAATAATACACTGGACAAATAATAATTTTTAAATTTTTCTTGGGTAGAATATTTTGTGGGTGAGTTTGTGCAAAGGACCTATCCAATTTGGGGTCGGCGCGCGTCACGTGTTTAACCTTTGTTGGGATCTGATTGTGGGTGCTGGCCCAAACCCCTTATATAGCTTTTCCCCTTGGATTTTTAAACTTTCATAGTTCCTTGAAATGGAGTACCCAAAAAGCGTTTGGGAAATTTCTCTTTTCTTTCAGATGGTTTGTTTTGAATATACAGTGGCCCCCCCGGTTTTAAGTTTTTAAATCCGTGCAAGAGGGCTCACGTTATCGAAATAATCGTTATGCGAATAAATTTTCCCCAAAAAGAAATAAGGGAAATAAAAAAAACCCGTCAAGACGCCAAAAGTATAAAAAAATTTTTTTTTTACCCATGAAATGTTAATTTTAAACCCAAAAAAAAAGGGGCATGCACAATTAAATACACTTCTTTTATTGAAGATCTGGTAAATTATTGATGGGATGGGGGGGGGGAAGAGAGTGTGTTAGTTTTAGAAGGGGAACCCCCTTCCATTGGGAAGAGGTAGTAAGTCCTTTTTGGGTTATTTCCCCTTCTTCTTTTAACCCACTGGGGCAGCTTCAAGTCACGGACCTTTCGCAAAGATTCTGTCCATAGGGGCCTGTACCTCTCGCCCTTTTTATGACTTCCCAAAGTGTTTCACAACATTGTAGTGTAATAACCCACCAACGGCTTGAAATAGCTGTGGAGGTGTTTTTCATCCATGAAGGTTTGCACTTAAAGCCACTTACCCAAGATTTCCTTTATCTTTGTAGTGGGCAATTCTTCAATTTCTCTCTCCCCCCTCTAAACCCATTTTTCCTGGGTCTGGCCTCTTGCTCAAAAGTTGATCTATCAGCTCATCAGGGGTTTTAGTTTCATTGTCCTCCCCACCAACTCTTCCACACCCCCCCCACTAACCCCCAAACCCAAAGGGACTTTCCCAATGCACAATGGGTTTCCTCAACTGGCACAGGATTTCAGGGTTACCTAAAACCCTTAAAAATCCCTTTTGTCTCACATTCTGGCCACAGTTTCCCCAAGCAGAGTTCAAGGCCCTCTTTGTCCACCCCCCAAGCCTTACCTATAAGTTTACACAATTGAGGATATTAAAGTGATTTTCCCAAAAACTTTTAAGTCATTGAGTTTCTGAGGTATTACAAAACACCTTTCAAAAAGAGCTTTTGTTCGTTTCTTTAAGTTGGAAAAAACCGCTGTCCATGGCTGCAGAGGGAGTGGATTAGAGGCAAAAACTTCACCTTAATGAAGTCATTCCCCAAAAATCCTCGCCACGTCTGTAAAGACCAGGGGCATTTTTCTAACACCCGGGGGCACTTAAAATTCTAATTTTTTTTCATTAGGGAAATTTTTTAATTGGGGGCAAATGCATGGGGTAACCATTATAGAAAAATTCCCCATTTACCCATGCCTTTCTGTTTGCCCCCACAGCACACACAAATTATCCTTGAGGACATTCTTTTGCCTAACGCTCTGGAGTTTCAGAGTGATACACTAATAAAGGCTTCACTTTTCAATCCCGTAGCATTTGGGACACATCAACAAAGTAAACCCGTCTTTCATAGGCTTATGTCCGGGAGTGCCTTTTCCTCCTAGTAAGTAGGTCCCCGCTTGGCTTTTTCTTCCAAAAAGGCCGTTTTATCACAATTAAACACTTGTTCGTTTTAGTCCCTTTATTCTATTACCCTTGAATTCCTGCACATATTTTTCAGCCCTTTGTGGTCCGAACTGGGCCCCCACCTGCCCTTTCACACTATGGATGCCCCTAGCTTTTAAATCTCTCAAACCCCCTTTGTGGCCCTTTAAATTCACTCACTCATCACTATTTTTGGGATTTTTTTTAAATTTAAAACCCATGCAACTTCCTAGCCTTTTCACATATGATCGCTTGAGAGACGCAATCTCCTGCTAATTTTTTTTCATTTATCCACACCAATAAGATCTCTCAACATTTCCCTCAATTGCATCTTTTTTTCGAAAAACAGTTGAACCTTTGGGAAGAACAGCTTCCTGATTGTCTTTCTGGGCCCACAATAGAAGGAGGTTGATTTGGGGGGTTTTGTAAGCTTTACTAGGGCGGCATACGCACTCCACTTTTATACTTTTCAAATTATCTCTTTCTTCATCTTATAGAATTCTTCCTTTTAGGTGTAGGTTGGCACTAGAAGCTTTCTTGGGCCCATGGTCACTTATTTTCCAGAAACAACCCAAAATAAATGTAA